TTTTGGAGTAGTTTTAGTGTATTTGGTGTATTATATTTGAGAAAGATTTCATCTTGGACGGTAGCACGGAAGTGCATGGCTCAGGAGATATATTTATGACTTGAAAGTTCAATCGACAATTTGTTAAGAGGGCGCCAGCCAAAAGTATCAGGGCGCTGAGACCCTGTTCTCTGGTTTAGAAAAACACCTGTAATCAGTTGATGATATGGGTATTAATTAGTGTTTGATTATAGGATAATAATGTATAAAAGCTGATTTCACAATCAGGTTTATTGGATTATATCAATCTGTTCAGATAAAATGCATAAAACGTGTACACCTCAAAAGACTAAGCGCTGAGATTTTACTGAATGCTATCATGCCAGGGTACCAGTCAGCTTTTATATAGAAATGCTACAAGGCCACAAGAAATAAACTGCACAGTTCCAATAACATACACACTTCCAAACTAGCCATGTAAACTTGAGGTCTGGTGAATCGCTATATACATGTGACTATGTAGTCAGCACTGAATTTTGTGTCATCAATGATTGTCAATCTCCATGACACACATGCATGGTCTGACCCATAATGTTGAAGACCCCCCACAACACATCAGATTAATTCTACTAGTATATTATTCATGGATTTGTTAAAGTCTAACAATCATAGGCGGCATCTAGTTTTTTCAAAATCAGATTGGAATTTGTTTTCCTACATCAGACCTAATTTGTTTTTGCACTAGCTTTCTGCTTAGTTAACAAAACCTATATTAATTAATGATGTGTATAGTCTAATCAAGTTTAGAACAGGGAATAAATTTTGGGTACGGTTAACAATTTTTTTTTGGCCTACAAGTAAATCAGATGAAATTAATGTAAAAAGGAAGTGTAAATAAATTTGGTTTACACTGGCATTGGAAATCCAACTATGACTTTAGAAAACGAAGTAATGTGATGTACAATTCTTGAATTTTGGGTCTCATGCTCAAAATAATTTGACAAAGATTTTTACCCTAAACTTATATTATCAATACAGGAAAAGTTTAAAAAATAAAAAAAAAAACAATATGATAGGATTACCTTCTAAGATGTCATCCAGTTTCGTCAGGAAATCTAATCCAAATATATGGTTAATAACCTTCTCAGGAAACTGTTGTAGCATCGCCAAGTCATGGGCTACCTTGATGAGGTAGTTAGGATGATACTGATCCATAAACGCCTCACACTTCTCTATACACGCCTGTAAAAACGACTCAACATTTGACGGGTAATAGTTGAGAAACGCATAGGGTAAGAGTATTCGGTTAAGGTTCAGATAGTTTAGCTGATTGGGTTGTTTCACTACAATATTAGCGATAGTGTCCAAGAGTGGTTTATGTCGGCATCGCGTCCTCATTAAATATATAGCACATTCAGGAGCTGACTTCGGTGACACTTTGTGCAGAAGTTTATTATAATGTTCCATAGTTTCTTCCAAAAGGGATGCGTCAATCCCTTCTTCCGTCATTGCTAACATGATAGCGTTCTGTAATTTCACACTCGTTACCTGGTCTAACTGTTTAATTGCTTGTCGGTTCAGATCTTTTCGTAAATCACCGTAGCTAATTTGATAGGCAGACAGCAGTGTCTGATCAAGAAGGATCTTCTTAATGGCAACAGAGGTCCTGTTTAATTCAGCAACGTCAAACTTGCTCATAGCACCCTTGACCTTTGCCAAGATCACCTGATGAGGATAATCAGTGTCAAGGTTTGACAGCACATGCACAATCATGCTAACAAAATGTGGATCAATACTTTTCTCTAATCCCTCTTTGAGCTTGTTTCCAAACAGCTTGCTGATTTCCACGTCGATAAAATCTAGGATAATTAGATTCCTAGCTGTCCAAGTCAAATCCTCAAGGTCGGCTTCTGTGACCCGTTTTTTCAAATAACGACAAACCATTTTTAGGATGCTAACTGATCTATAGTTCATCTTGCGCAAAGTTCTACAAATATTACTCAGAGCAGCAAAGGACATATCAGGGATTTTATCCAGAACGATATCTTCAAGATGAATTTTCAACTCTGTGGACGCATCGGGAGCCAATATATCGAAAATGTGAGAGAAAGTTAGAGGGCATACGACCGTCGAGTAAATTTGTTTGAAGTGGTTAGAAATTGCAGTCTTAAGCCCAATATGGTGATAGTCCAATGAGGAATAGCATCTATGCGATATGCATAAATCGACCAATCCAAAAGAGTCTATGTTCTCAATTATAAGACTAGCGCACTTATCTAACAGCGAAGCCTCACAGATTGAGGCGTATGCCACAGCTTGCAGGATTCTCCGAATATCATGTGGGTACACCGAATCACTCTCAAACAAATACATAGCTTTTTTGACCAGTTTGGTTTGGAAATCAGCCGAGCACACACCCATTAGAACATACATCAAGTTCGAGAACTGTCGTACGCTTTCAATATTATTTAGATCTTTTTGTAGTCGTGAAGCAAGTTGTCCTGCAATTGGACTATTACGTAAAGACATTTCCTGGAGGCAAACCGCAAACCTCGATAAATCAGCGAAGTCCAATTGTTGTATTCTTCGGGTTGCTTCGATAACAATTTGCTGTACAGACGAAGAAGCAGGGTCCACTTTGAGTCGTAGCAACGCATACAATACCTTGATCAGAGATGTATCATCAAATTCAGCAGCGTTTGTTTCTATGGCAACACACAGATTTTGAAATACTGTGTGTTCATTGATTTCACTAAAATTCCTTGAGCTGTCTGGTTTTTGTTTCTGCAACTCCCATATGATGTCTATTGCAGCAAAGACTTGCAGATTATTTAACACGAATTTATGTTTTGTCAAGACATCAAATATCCTACCCTCAGTATCTGCTTCTAATATCTGTGCTGTGATAGGATCAGGATCGACTACAATATGGTTTTTGGCTCGATAAAACCCATTAGAAGACGTCTTGATTGTCTCTACATGTAGACTCGGGACTGTATCAGTTTTATCACGCCCATTAGGTTGAACATCGTAAAGCGAACGATGGAATGGCGTCATCGCGTAACTAAATGACACTGGACGTTGACGTCTTAACAACAAAGGATAAATCCTTTGAAGCAGGATTTTTGAACTCATCGTGAGTTTAAAGTTAATATATTGAAAGCATCACAAAATCATGCAACAAACATAACTTGGGTTCAGAAATCCGACAACACCATAAACTACATGTACTGTATCTATGTGGAAGGAAAAAGAAAGACAATAAATACACTAGTATTCTGTGGTACAGAGTGTGGTTTGTGAGTTTTATGGGTCAAAAAAAAAATCCCTGTTGGTTAAATCAAAGACACTAGTGTCTTTGGTTAAATAGTAAACAAAACTGAAATGAATCAGAACATGAAACAGATTACATGATGTATAATGTAGTTGTAAAATTGGATTGTGATCAGTCAATGTATGTCAGAAAAATGGCTCGAGCTAGCATTAGCAATCAGCCATTTTGAAACTGGAAAGAAACATTACGGTCTTGTTATACGAAATGTATGTTCAAGGCATGTACCAAGATAAACAATAACTGTTCTTACAACTATATATAATCAAGATCTGATTCCAGAATGGCAGAAATGCTTTATTTTAACATTAAAATGGCTGCCGTTCGGCCATCATAAATCTGATTGTCAAACAAATTACATGAAGTACATTGTAAGATGTATCTATAAAGTTGGAAGGTGTTTGGTTAAGGCATGTCAGATACGGCCATGAGTCAACCATTTTGAATCTGATCTGAACATTTTGATGAATTTAAGCATTAAAATGGCGGTCATTTGGCCATGTTGAAACAAATCATGAAACCACTATGATTATGTATGTATCCCGTGTATGTGTATGTGTCAAGTTTAAGTGTCATTGGCAAAGGCATGTCACAGGAGGACATAGACAATCATCTAAATAAGCACAATAGTCAGAAACCCAGCTTGCCAAGTTGATGTTGTGATGTACGGGACATTATGGCGGTGACAGGAAAGTCAACGTAAAGGTCGTATAAATAATGACGCAATTAAAACATCTAAGATCGACATCATCGATTATTAGCGATTGGATTTCAAAGCACCGAATCTCTGAAGTTAGTATCACGCAATGTTTTCATTAACTTAACTGTCTCGAATTAAAATTATAACAAAATGAATGCACAAGTTCCACTAAATAACAAATAATTACCATGCTGTTTCTGTTCGTATGGAAGTCGCCATCTTGTATATTGTAATGAATGATGGGAAATTGTACATTACCAAACTCGCCTGTGGTGGCGCTTTCTAAAGTTGGAGTCTGATAATGGTGGTTTTGCATTCTCTATTGCGTTTGCC